GTGTGTGAATGTTCTCAAATTTGATGGATTAAATAAAATTTAAACAATATATTTGTTTCTCATTTTATTAACTTTGTCTACAAAGCCTTTCCAAAGCGAGCATGAATTTCACTTGCATAGCTATTATAACGGTAACTTGTAATACAAAAAATGTATGAATAAAAGTTCTCGGACGTAAGTATTGTAAATCAGTTTTACATACATGTAAGGAAATGGAACTCATTCATTAATGTATCTTGTTATTAGTAATTGGCAAAATCAATTTGTAAAAAACATTCTGATTGTACTCACAACTATTCTGAAGTTGATTTTAAAAAGATGCTTGAGTTTCTGATTGATAATACCATTAATACGTATCTATATGATTTCTAGAGACCAGATCTTCCAACAATACGTTGGAATTCCCACGGGTACCAATTTCGCACCGTTATTAGCAGACCTATTTTTGTATTAAAATGAAGCAAAATTTATTTAAACTCTTATAATGAGAAGAAGAAAACACTTGTGGCCTTCAATGCGACATTAAGAAGTATCAACAATGTATTATCAATTAACAATAGTTATTTACATTTTTATGTCGACACGATATATCCCGGTGAGCTTGGAATTATTAAAGATACCACAATCTGAAGCATCTTTTCATACTTGGAAATTTTTCTAGAAAAGACTTTAATGGTTATCTAACAGCCAAGCTTTATAATAAATGTAATGACTTTAACCTTTTTTTTAATCGTCAACTTCCCTTTCTTTTGCAGCAATAAATATATATTATTCAGCTACATGCAGGGTTTCTCCTAATCGAATCGATACGCAGGAGCATGCTCTATGTATGAATAATTATTGAAAAACAAGCTGAGCAAATACAATCTATTATTAAGTCAAATGCTCACTAATCCCATTTTTTAAAAAAAATGTTAAGCCAGTATTTAATATTCTGAATTGTGGACGGATTTTTTTTAATACACGCTGAATCAGATTATTTGAAGTTATTTCCCGATCACGACAAGGAACACACGGCGGGCGTGAGCGATCGGCAGGGGGTGTATATTGCTCCGTGGCACCTGATCCCACCTTTGATTCTCATGAGGTATGTGTTTGCTCTGTTCCTGATTTTTACTTCTTACCTCAACACTATTTATTGCCATTCGATTTTTAATGACTTATTTGAATTTAACAATGCAAATTACTCAAAATTGAATTTAAAACTGCGCACCAAGTAAATAATAAAAATTCAAGATTTATGGGGAAACTATTTTTTTTGTTCGAAGGATACTTTAATAAAAAGTTCTTCAGATCTACACATTTGTTACATTTAATATGTTGAAACTAGTTACCCATAGAAAACATTTCGTTATTTTATGCTATAATATAAAATATAGGGTTGAAAGTATATTTTGAAATAAAGTTTACATGTTCACTCAACAGACTTTGCCAGGAAATGAAAAAAATATTAAAGAAGATAAAATTTACACTGTTTCATGTTCGAAAATCGCATACATCTTACTGTATTTTGAACAATAGGCCTATCCCAAATTTTACACCACTAATCCCAACTTTCTTTCATTATTTTTAACTACAGTGGCGTGCCAAAAGTGAAGATAATTTTATTTTTTCTATATATATTTCATTGAAAACAATATTTTGTAAAATCGCTGGTATGACAACAATTCTTGACAGATTTTATCGAAAATTTCTTGATAATCCAAGAAATTGTTGTAGTTAAAAAAAACAATAGTTTTTATCTGATAAGCATTGATAATTTAAAAATATTGTAATTTAAGTGTGACATGAATTTTTAAGTCATATACTCACAATGAATTATATAGTCAACATTGATCTTGAATTTTAGAACTAATGTTTAGTGATGAACTATATTTTACTACATATTAAACGTGTGAATGATCTTTTAAAGAAAGATAACTACACATTTTCTGGTTTAAGTACTGAAATAAATAATTAAATTGGACAAAAATTGACCATTTACCTATGATTTTACAAAATGTTGTTTTCAATGAAATATATAGAGAAAAAATAAAATTATCTTCACTTTTCGCACGCCACTGTATATAAGTCTTCCAACCTATCGGCACTAAGTGTCAAAAAATGTTTGATACAAGAAAATATTATCATTAATGAATATTATTTAACACTTTAAAAAAAAAACTGAAATAAGATTGTATTTATTGCCATAATTACATGAAATATATAAAGATAACAAAGAGTATTCGAGCTGAAAAGGCCATTAAAGAATACAGAGTTTAAAATAGAGCAAACACGGACATCTGAAACATCAAAGGTTAGGATCAGGTGCCATGGAGGAGTGAGCATCCCCTGCCGCCAGTCACACCCGCCGTGTGCTCCTTTTCATGATCGGGAAAGAGCTTACGAAATTAATGATGACTTTAAACGACACTGCTGATATTCTTGTTTTATCAACTTGTTTGTCGATAACTTACCATGTTTTTAAAGTTGTTTATATGTAGAGCATGCACTTGTGTATCCAATGAACTGAGAGATAAAATATAAACCCCGCATGTAGTTGATGAATTGTAAGGGAAGTTGACGATTGAAAAGTTAACGTCGTCGGGTTTATCATAAAGATTGGTTGATAGATTACCATTAATGATTTTTCTAACAAAATACCCAGCTGCTTTTTCAATTCAAACGGAACTCGTAAATTTACTTACCTTGTCATTGGTAATTTACAAAATTACTTTAAAATCATTCCGATTGTACACACAAGTGCTCTAAGATGATATTTTATAGATGCTTGAGTTTCTGATTGACAATTTTTACATAGTATTTGGAGACTAGGTCCTCCAACAATCTATTTGAATTCCCATGGGAACCAATTGCACCCCATTGTTAACAGAAAACCCATTTTTGTACCCATGCAGATGAAGCAGAATTTGTTTCAAATCTTTTACGTGAAAAGAAGAAAACACTTTCTTTGGCCTTCCACACGACATTCAGATATATCGGTGACGTATTTCATATCAATAATAGTCCTTACCATTCTTATGTTGACACGATATATCCCGGTGAACTTGAAATAAAAGATACCCCAGAGCCTGACATATCTGTTTTATTTCTGGATACTTTACTAGAAAAAGACGTTAATGGTTATCTAACAACAAAGCTTTATGATAACTTTTCAATCGTCAACTTCCCTTACCTATGCAAAAATATACCTTTATCACCTGCGTACGCAGTTTATATCTCTCAGTTGATTCGATACAGAAAAACATGTTATAAGTATGAACAATTTCTACAACGAGGCAAGTTATTGACATACAAGTTGATGAAGGAAGAATATCATCAGTCTTGTTTACAGTTTCTGAATCGAAAGACATTATTGACAAACAGACTGACGAAACAAGAATTTCAGCAGTCTCGTTTAAAGTCATCATTTTGTTAGTTCCATGATCAATAAAATGACCTTGTCAGCAAATATAATTTATCATTGAGTCAAATGTTGCGTTGTTGACTGACATTTTTCTTTCTAAATTTTAGGCCATTATTTACACACTAAGTTGTAATTTTTTCCGTTTTATCCCCAACATGACAAGGAACACACGGCGGGTGTGCCCGGTTGTCAGGGGATGCTCACTCCCCAATGGCACCTGACCTCACCTCTGATTTTTTTTGGAGGTCCATATTTTCTCTGCTCAAATTTTGTATCATAGCTTGATGGACTTTTGAGCTTGAATACTGTTCTTTATCTCCGTATATTTCATCCAAATATAAAACAGATGTGTCAGAATCTCTGGTATATTTTAGTTCAAACTCATCTGGATATAACGTATAGAAATAAGAATGAAAATAGCCATCATTAATTGACCATACGTCGTCGATATATATCAATGTTGAAGCCACAGCAAATGGTTTCTCCTTATTTTCAAGCACAACATTTTAAACAAATGTTGCTTCATATGAATACAAAAATAAGTCTGTAACCATTGGAATTCCAATAGGTTGTTAACCCTTTCGACGCCAAAGCGACAAAAATGTCGTTTACTGTGTCAACGCCAAACCGACAAAAATGTCGCTTTGTAATACATGTTTAACTTTTTCGTTTATTTATCATTTATCTCAGTTTAAATTAAATACAGTAATATCTAAATTTTGACACAAGTATGTGCCTTTATTTTTAAATTGGTACTGGTCTAAATATGACGTCATATTTCTTTACATTGACGTTAAATTATGACGTAGGTTTAGGAGTACGCTAGCGTTGTAAAATTTGGCGCGCCATAGCATAAGTTGTTTTTAATGATCCATAGTCCTCGGACAGTTTACACTTATTTCCCCTGGCAATACTTGCATGCATATAAATATTTCATCGATCGATCGATTGAGAGAGAGAGATAGATTTGTGAATATACATCTAGTCTTTATAAAATGTATTGATCATTTAAAAAATAAGATTTGTTAAAATAATTGAAAAAATAGATTAAATACATTTAAAAACAGTAGTCACTGATATTAATGTTTAAATCTTCCGATAAAAAGTCACTTTGAAATTGTATTGAACTTGCAACAATTTTTAGAAATAAGATACAGCTAGATACACGCAGTATTTATTTATTCATTTTTTAGCATTATACCGACAATGATTTTATGCTTAAAATATGTAAACAAAAGAAACAACAATAGACTAGGGTGAAAAGACAATATTATCTATTGATATTCCACAGGCGCTTGCGATGTTCTTATTTAAGGAATGACTCTAATTCTTGGCCATATTATCGAGTATAATCTGGTTTGGGTCAGTTTACGCTTTATAATCCGCGAAGCGGATTATAAAAAAGCGTAAACTGACCCAAACCAGATTATACTCGATAATATGGCCAAGAATTAAAGTCATTCCTTATAATTTAATTTTAAAATAATTAAACAACTTTTGATGTAAAATTGTGTTGCTTTTTATAAGTTCAAATTTACCGCGCAATAATACAACCGTAGTAACGGAAGTGATTTGAAGCGAGGGGAGGTAATAA